AATTCCCCAGGACAAGGCCCTGAGTGATTCCATCCTGGAAATTTGAGTTATATCCTTGGAGATCCTGAGTTCCTAAATTCCCCAGGATAAGGCCCTGAGTGATTCCATCCTGGAAATTTGAGTTATATCCTTGGAGATCCTGAGTTCCTAAATTCCCCAGGATAAGGCCCTGAACAATCCCACCATGGAAATTTGAGTCTCATCCTTGGAGATCCTGAATTCCCCAGGACAAGGCCCTGAACAATCCCATGGTGGATATTTGAGTTATATCCTTGGAGATCCTGAATTCCCCAGGACAAGGCCCTGAGTGATTCCATCCTGGAAATTTGAGTTATATCCCTGGAGATCCTAAATTCCTAAATTCCCCAGGACAAGGCCCTGAGTGATTCCATCCTGGAAATTTGAGTTATATCCTTGGAGTTCCTGAATTCCTAAATTCCCCAGGACAAGACCCTGAACAATCCCATGGTGGATATTTGAGTTATATCCTTGGAGATCCTGAATTCCCCAGGACAAGGCCCTGAACAATCCCACCATGGAAATTTGAGTTATATCCCTGGAGATCCTGAATTCCCCAGATAAGGCCCTGAACGATCCCATCAGTGGAAAGTGGATGTTTTGGGGCTGCTGTTACCTCGTGCAGGTACTCCTTCAGCACAGCCAGCTGTGGGTTGCTGAAGGGGTAGGTGAGGACCTGGGAGAGGCGATTTTCCAGGGAGACGTTGCGGAGGCAGGCGCGCAGCTCCTCGGGGGTGTAGTAGACAGGCATCACCTGGTCCTCCAGAACTGCCTCTGTTATCTCCTTGTCAGCTGGGCAACCTGCTGAAGCCACGGCAAACTCAGGGTTAAATCAAATCCTTCCTCTCCAAGCTTGGAATCTTGGAATCATTTCAGTTGGAAAATCCTCCGAGGTTGATCTGATCCCCACTTTGTCACCGGCACCGAGTGCCACGGCCAAGGAGTTCCTTGGACACCTCCAGGGGTGGGGACCCCAAACCTCCCTGGGAGCCCCTCCCAAGGCCCCAGAAGCTCCAGGGTGCCCCCTGATCCCGCTGGGAATTCCTCTGGATCAGGGGTGCTCCCGTACCATCCTCTCGCTTGTGCCGGCGGGGCAGGAGCTCGGCGATGATGGTGGCCAGCTCCTCCCTGGACAGGGGGGAATCCCAGGCAAAGTTCCTCAGCCAGGTGCTTAAAGCTTTCTGCAAGGAAAAGGGATCATCAGGGGGATTTGGGAATGCTGGATGTGCCTCCAGCACAACCCCTGCTCCTCACACACCAGGCCCAGAGTCCAGAGATCCTGAACAGCAATTCCTTAAATGTTTGAGCTCTGTTTTCCCCGGCCCATCGGTGGCCAGAGCTCCTCACAAAGCACTGGGAGAGTTATTCCCGTGATGGGAAGGGGCTGACAGCGACCTGGATTTGCAGTTCCAGCCTGTCAGCTCCATGAACCCTCCCTCCTCACAGAGCAGCATCCCTCTGGCACCAGGCCTCTTTCCAAAGCAGGAGCTGCTGGAAGCAGCCTGACTCAACAACCCCAGCAGATTTTGATGCCTTAAGCTGTAGATTTCGTATTTTCCACATTCTGTTCTGCACTGGTGTGTAACTCTGAACTTCACATGAAGTGTCAGCAAGTTCTCACAGCTCAGGCAGACACAACAATCCTTTCCCAGCCCAAAAACCAAGGATTTAACTCCGAACTTCACATGAAGTGTCACCAAGTTCTCCTCACAGTTCAGTCACACAAAACAATCCTTCTCCAGCCCAAAAACCCAGGATTTAACTCTGAATTTCACATGAAGTGTCAGCAAGTTCTCCTCACAGCCCAGGCAGACAACAATCCTTCTCCAGCCCCAGAACCAAGGACACCGTTGCATCCTCGGGCCCAAGAAGTGTTGGCAGCAGCGAATTGAGGAGAGCAGTCTGGGAGGATGGGACTGCATCACCTGCAGCTGGAATTGGACATCAACCCCGATGTGGAAATGGACCAGAACTTATAAAAGTGTGAGAACTCGTGAGCCCTCATCCATCCTGGGTGTAGCCTCAGCCAGGCTCTTGTAGTGCCCAAGGTGCATCCTTTAAAGGCCTTTTTAATAATTATCTATTTTATTTATTTAACTCTGTCCAGCTCCAAGAGCCCTCCCTCCTCACAGAGCAGCATCCCTCTGGCACCAGGCTCCTTTCCAAAGCAGGAATTCCTGGAATCAGCCTGGCTCAACCCCCCCCAGCAGATCTGAGCCCCACTCTGTGCCCCAGCAGCGCTTCCCAAAGTGCCCAGAGCCCACCTGGGGAATCTGCTGCAGGATGCTGGGATCCAGCACTGGGATCAGCCCCTGGAGCTGGCTCAGGGTGAAGGCTGACCATGCTGCAGGAGGCCTGAGGACAAAAATGTGTTACATAGAAGTAAAAGTTTTTAAAAGAAAGGCCTTAATTTAAGCCTTACTTTTGTTTACTTGCTATAATTATTTAATTTATATTATATAAACTAATATCTATAATAAATATATATTTTTATATATATATATATTTATATATATTTACATTATAACATTGTAAATATATAATTATATATAATATGATAATATAATCATACATTATCATATATAATAAACATATATTATAATATTATGAACATATAACATATAATAAATATGTAATATAATATCTATTATATATTATATAAATAATGTTATTTAATTATTGAATATAATTTATTATTTTAGATATTAGATAATATATATTAATTATATATAGTTATATTGCATTTATTATTATTATTATTATTATTATTATTATTATTATTATTATGCCATTTTGTGCATCAAACACAAAGTGAGCCACGAGGCCTTGTTTGTACCATCAGAATAAAGACATGCTCCAGATTGCAAAGAATTAAATTATTAAATTTGTGCAGTCTGGAGAGACCTGCCAAGTTTTGTGATGATCTAATAACCACAAGAAACAAAATTCTAACGTGCTCAGGAGTTTTCTTCAAACCTAAAGAACTGAGATAAGCAGAGCTCCCCACGAGGGAGGATCCCAAAAGAATTCAGTCCAAAGGAGACTGAGAAAGCCAGGAAGAGAAAGAAAAATATAGAAGAAAAGCAGCAGAATCAGAGAAAAAGGATTTTTTTAGAGAAAAGTTACAACTGATACAGGAAGGAAAATATTTTGCTTCCCCCTCTGTGCTGGAATTGGGGATTTATCCAGCATCTCTCACCGGACAGGTAGAGGCAGAATGTTTTCTGTGCCTGACAAACAGCTTGAGCTGGGATCACCAGGCCACAGAAATTTTGGGGAATAAAAAACAGAGCAGAGGAAAAGCTTTTATAAAGAGCAAGAGATAAATGAGCGCTTCTCTTTCAGG